ACATTATATTTTAAGATTTTTTTTATTAAAAAATATATTTAAGAATTAATTTGAAGTTTTATCCAAATTATTTAGGAATATGTTACAAAAAAACGTGTCAGATTGGTTTTAAAATTTGAGATTTGAATGAGTTACACCAATCAAATTCATTCCAAAATATGTTCACCATTTATACATTATCCAACTCATTTTATTTTGATTTCTTTTTCAATTAATTAAAAATCATGCAATCTTTTCAATAGTTGAATTTAATTTTTTACTATTTGTTAAGTAAATTCGTTTTAGTTTTTCTTTTTTTTTTAAATATTGATCTTTCCCTATGATTAGTTGACCTTTTCAAAAATGGTATTTATATATATATATAGAGAGAGAGAGAGGGAGAGAGAGAGAGAGAGAGAATCTATTTATAAAAAATATTAGCAAAAAAAAAGGTCAGAATTTAATGCAAAAGTTTTACTTATTTTTTTCTTTTAAAATCATACGTCATTAAATGCCACCATAAATTTCGGTTTTAGTTCATTTTATTGTTTTAAAAAATCAGACTAAGATCTATTAAGTGTTCATGTTTTTATTTTTATTTTTATTTTATTAGAACCAATGAACAACGCTAAAATCTCGGTCTCTATGTTTATAAAATCTCAATTCAAAATATAACAAAAGTTTTAGAATATCGGTCTCTATATTTGTGCCTTTCAAAAATTGATTGAATGCTAAAAATATTATTTAAATTGTTAATTAACTAAATTAATCTTAATTTTTTAAAAATTACTATGTTTATTTTTTATTAATATGCATAAAGTAAAATTAATTAATTCGTCTTTAGATATATAATTTATAATCTTAATATACTATCATTTGGTGTAGACATTTATTATATGAATCATAAAATATTTGTATTTCATAAAATTAAATATTTTAAAGAAAATTATAAAATTTCTTTAGATCAATCAGGTGATTGAATTAGGGTACTGCCCAAGTTGATTAAATTACTCTTAGGTGGTATTTAAAATAGTCAAAAAAATTCACACAACTTGGTTGGTCCTATGTGACAAATTTACGTATCAGCTTGACCAGACCAAATCGATTATTGAACCTAAATTTAAATTTAACATTGAAAATACTTTATTACGTGAATGTGATTTCAAAATTCAAATAATCGTATTAACACAATACTTTATGAAATCATGTTTAATAATTTATAAATATTTATATCATTTTAATTATTTTATGTGAATAAAAAAATATTTTATTATAATTTTTATTAATGTACAGTAAATATA